GGATCTGCGCATGCGCTGCCAATAGCGCCGCGCTGCTGTGGAGGGAGGAATTTCAGTGAACGAGAAATATGAGTCAATGGATTACGTGAACGAGAACGATTCGTTAACCAAAAATATTCGTTCAAAAAGAACGATTCGTTCACGAACGTAACAACACTAGTTTGGATAGAGGAGGTTAAGTAACACACACACACACACACACACACACACACACCAGTGAACGCTCTGCCTCCCGAGTGTTTGACATCAGTAATGAATCACAGTAAACACAAGCACCACCCCCGGTTCTGCGTCTGTGTGTGTTTGCATTCTGAATGGATCCTCAGCCGGTCAGTCAGCAGCGTCTCTGTGCAGAGGTAAAAACACTCGAATGTGTTATTTGTGCATCACATGTACAATATCACTATGTGTGTGTCCTCCAGGTGTGAGATGATGATTCTGCATGTCAACATCACACTGGAAATACTGTTTTGTTTTGTGTTGCTGACTGATGCATCTCAATCACTCGCGTGTGTCTGGAGGATCCACTGCTTTGTTGACGTGATAATGGATGGTGTGTGTGTGTGTGTGTGTGTAGGTGACTATGCCCCGTGTGTGTTTGAGACAGATGATGCGTCTGTCTGCTTTATTCTTTCACACCATGACCTGGCTCTGCTCAGGTAAGACCAAATAAACACACACTCTCACATACACGAAAAACACACTCTCTCACACAAACACACACACTCTCACTCACTCACAAACACACGCACACTCTCTCACTCACACACAAACACACGCACACTCTCTCACTCACTCACAAACACACTCACACCCACTCTCTCTCTCTCTCTCTCACACTCGCTCTAGTTTCCATGTTTTGTATTTTATTTTTCTCTCTGACAGCATCCATTGACCCCGCTCCCAGAATTGATGGACAGCAGACCTTGTCGGTCACCGTACAGGAGAACGTCACTCACCACTTCAACTGCCGATCAGAGGGCTGGGATGCTCAAGCCCTGCCCCTGCTGACCTGGTATCTGAACGGCGAGCAGCAGAGTGAGGTCACGGGCAGCCGGGGGGCGGGGCGTCTGGTTATGACATCAGCGCAGGATTCCAGAAAGCATAAATACGGATCGGAGCGCAACAGCACGTTCACACTGAAACCAAAGCGCTGGGACCGAGAGCTGGTATGTGCGGCGTGAAACCCTGCAAGAGAGCTACAACGTCACCGTCACTCTCAACGTCCAGTGTGAGTCTGAGCAGAAAACACTGCTCATCGTGTTAGCAATAATGAAACACTCCTGCAGGGTTTATCGTCAAGAATTAATATTGGTTATAAATATTAATAATAATGAGAAGAATGTTGTATATTAATATAAATTATAATATTACTACTACAATTTACTGTATATTAATAACAAGAATAGTACATATTAATATAAATTATGATATTAGTAGTAATTATTAATTATAATAGTATGATAAAATCTAAACAATTATAATAGTATTAGTACTAAGAAGAATTGTGTATATAGATAGATAGATAGATATAGAAACCAATATATATATAGATAGACAGATATAGATATTATTATTATTATTATTAATAATATTAATATTATAATTTATATTTATATATACCCTTATGATTTATAATATATTAATTTATATTTTTTATATTGATTTAAAATTACTTTTTTATTATTTATTATAATTTAAATGGATTTTTATTAATAATAATAATAAGAAGAAGAAGAAGAAGAATAAGAATGTTATATATTAATATAGAAATTGTGGCATTAATAAGATTGTATCAATATAAATTATAATAATCATAAGAAGAAAACGTTACTTTAATATGAAAGTTATAATGTTAATAAAAATGTTATTATTGTTATTAATATATTTATTCTAAACTTTATTATAATTATTATTATTTATGGATATATTATTTCTGTAATATTAATAGAAATTTTGATGGGTCTGCAAGCGACGTGTATTTGTATGTTTCAGCCACAGATGGCGATAGAGAGTTGAGTAGTGCATCTGTAGAAGCCTGCGATCCAGCTGAAGCGTGCTCTAGCGTCACACGCGTGTGTTTCAGTCCAGCCGGAGATCCTGCGTGTGGACACTCGGTACATGATCTCAACACACTGAGCGTATGAAGCACTCTAGACGAAAGCTGAGCTGAACTCTGATGTGTGTCTGATGCGTCAGGGGTCAGGGGTCAGGGGTCACAGAACACTAGCTACATGTTCAGCTTCATTCTGTGCCCTGAAACCAAAAGACTGACATCAGGAACTGATGAGCGCTCAAGATCTAAAAAAAACCATACTGTAGCGGAAATAAAGTCACAGTGGGTCAAAATGTCTTTGTTGAGAGGAAAAAATAAACACAGACACGTTTTATTGTTACATTCAGAAATAATATAAATGTTAGTAAATAAAATGAAATATTTACAAACATTATATATGTTAAAACATGCATTTTACTTCCCGTCACTCTATGACAAATACTTTAAATTTAGCAGTATTATAGTTAATTAAAGCTAAAGCCACAAAAAAAACAAATAAAATAAATACATTTTCTTACTTTAAATAAAATTAAATATTTAAAACACATTTTATTTTAGCTAGTCGCCAAGACAATATTTTTTATTTTCATTTAGTTTAACTTGATGTAAAGTTAAAACTAAAAACTGAAGTTTAAAAAATGCATAAAAACTATCTAAACATATTTAAAAATAAGAATACGAATGATGATGATGACAAAAACACACAACAAAATGCTTGAACTGGAATTAAAATGAAATGAGAAAGTATAAAAGTAAAATCTAATTCAAAATATAAATAAAAACTATAGCCTAACAGTATATCAATGATAGTAAAATAACTGGCGTTCATTAGAAACAACATTTATTATAAACGTCAAGGCTAAAGTCATTTATTTGAAGTGAAACTGAAACTAGTGAAGTGTGGAAGCGTGCTGCAGAAATAAACTAGTGTTCACGTTCACTCGACCGATCCAGACGTGTGGCGTTGGGCGTGTTTGCAGTGAATTGCATTATATAAATCAGTCTGGAATATTAGTGGCGGCACATTTCAGATGATAGAAACCTGACCTGAGGCTGTGGAGATGAGAGGAAGGATTTCAGCTTATTTTCACTTGTGTTTAACTGACAGTGTCCTGCTGAAGAACTACATTACCCATAATCCCCTGATCGGAGAAACCACTGTTACTATGGAAACGGCAATCAGAGGCTTATTTTCCTTGTTAGTAACTTGCATTAGTTCACCGTGATGATGATTCCTGAAACATTACATTCAGAGAAAAACACTTAAAATCACAGACTGATTCAGTGACGTCAGTGGGATTCATGGGATCTGTAGTTCATTCAGAAGTGCTTGATCATTAATATCATCTTTATTTTTGATGTTCAGAAGTGTTTCTTCATCAGATTTGATCATGTTCTCAGCTAACAGAGTTTTCTGGTCTTTAATGACATTCTCAAAACATTAGCACAAAAACAATATTTATAAAACATTTTAGTTGGACATTCATCTGACTTCTCTAAACATTACTCTTTATTAGTTTCAGATGATTCAGAGAACATTCCAAAGTCACGTTCCCATAATGTTTGCAGAATTCCAAAATGGAACGTTCCCTAAATGTTCGTGTTTTTAAACGTTTTGAACGTTCAGAGAGCATTCAGAAATAACGTTTTCATGATTTAATGGGAATGTTAGCAGAGCGTTCCGGTAATGTGTTTCTGTTCGCTGGGATGGTTTAGTCTGTGTTGATGAATCTGAAATGCATGAATCAGATCACGACTGAGCCTCATCACTCTGGTCACTCGTGCAGTGATTCGCACAAGCCTTGTGAACATCACATCACATCCGTTTGACTGACCATCAGGAACCATCCACTGTACATGTGTGCGTTCATCAGTATTTACCCACAATTCATTGCTGCTCTATGGAGTGCTGTGTCATGTTTGTGTAATATAAAGGAATGTTCAGTAAATCTGCAGAAATGTGATTTATATATATATATAAATGAATGAATATAAAGAGTATTGTTGGTAAGGTATTATGATCATATGTGTATGTATATTTACTGTAAGTATGTTTGTAAAGCTCCTTATGAATCTGTATATATGAATATATTTCATAACGCATGTCATTGTGTTTCCATCCAGCAGGAGGCGCTACTAGTTAAACTGCAGCTGTGGCTGTTAACCCGAGTTTAAAGAGTTAGTTCACTTCCAGAATAAAAATTGTCATCATTTACTCTCGCTATACTTGTTCCAAACCTGTATGAGTTTCTTTCTTCTGTTGAACACAAAAGATGAAAACTATTGGGATCCGAACAGTTGAACACCATTGACTTCCGTAGCAGGGGAACCGTTCGGATCCCAATAGTTTTCATCTTTTGTGTTCAACAGAAGAAAGAAACTCGTACAGGTTTGGAACAAGTAGAGCGAGAGTAAATGATGACGGAAGTTTCATCCTGAAAGTGAACTACTATTTTAACTAGTACTACTTAATTATTCAAATGTTTTTTTCTCTTGCTTGTGTATCAGTCAAAATACCTCAATAAATCATATCCAACGCACACGAGACGTGTGAAGCTCAGTCCTGTGTTTGATTTGTACAATAATGCTCTGTGTGTGAGTGAGTGAGTGTGTGTGTGTGTGTGTG